GAAATATCTCTTCCGCCTCAAAAAAGAGTTATTTAGGTGGGAAGTTCTCTTTGGCCAAATTCCACGCATTCCAAACGCGAAAAATAAAAATAAAAAATGCTGAAATGAAGTTATTAACCCATAAACAAGGCTGAGAAAAATCTGTTTCTGTCTGTTTCTCTCCCTAGTTTTTTTTTTTTTTTTTTGCTTCTCCCATTAGAGATCTCTTGGATTTTTGCCAGGCATCTCTCTGTGGCAATTGCCTGGCACAGCCCGGCTTACTGGCTGTTTGTTTTTTGTCAACGGGTATAATTTATGTAATCATGAGCCAAAAAAACAACAACAAAAAAGAGCTAAGAAAAAACAAAAACATCACAGCGACGGTAAACAGCAACAACATGATTTAGGTAAGCTGTTGAAATATTTCATTTGCTGTCTCTTTCCCATTCCGCTTCGTTTCTCAGCTCTCCTCTGGGTTTCTCTGTATGTTTTTCTGTATTTTTGGGGTGTTAAAGTGCAATTAGTGCTCAGGGAAGAGGGATCTTCAGGTACATATCCGCATATATAATATATACCTTAAGCGATTCCTATATATATATCTTGAGGAATTAAAAAGGGAGATACTTTGATGAGAAGATGCCAACAAGAGATTATAAGAAAATATTCCCATTCTTTAAATCGAGACTTATCGATACATTTCTATGAAATTATCGAAAATTTTAATTTTAAAAATCGTATAACTCTGCCAAAATCAGCTCAATTTTCATTTGGAAAGCTTTTCTTTGTTAGTTTTTGGTAGGCTAAAAAGTCTGCATACTTTATTTGAAATTGTAATAAAATAAAATTTTTTCCAATTTTTTTTTAATTGTTTAAAAAAATGTTCTGCCGGATATAGCTAGATCTATTCGGCTGTTCATGCTGATCAAGAATATATATGATTTATAGGGTCGGAAATCACTCCTCCACTTAGTTTTAAGGGTTTGACTAAAATTAGAATACCCTAGAAAAAAAATTAATTAAACAGCAAAGAATAAAGAAAAAGTCAATAGAATGAATAAAATAAATTAAATAAAGGAATGAAAATAGATTGGTAAAAGTTTTTTTTATATAAATAATATTATTTGAAAAAATATATATAAGATATAATATTATAATACAAAAAATATAATTTTATTATTGTTATTAATTATTAAATAAATAAAATTTAAATATTATTTTATTAAGAGCTCATGCCCTTTTTTTAAAGGGTATTTCGACTTTCTTTAAATCACAGACTTTTCAAGAGTCCATTTAAGCTGTTTTTGGGTATCAGAATGAGAGAGATATATATAGAGTAAAAGGGAGAGAGAGAGAGAGAGCGAATGAGAGAGAGAGAGGGATAGCTTGAATTAAAAAGGGCGGCAAGTGGCTTTAACTTTGGATAACCTGGGCTCCCGTCTCGTTTGCGGTTTGATTTGGTTTGCTTTTTTTCTTCTTTTTTTTCGGTGATTGCCTACGTGAGGCGCGGCACCTAACACCTTGCCATCTATGACATAAGCGGTATATATACATATCTCTTATTTTTTGTTGTTGTTAACAATGCCTCTCATGCATCCCCGCTCTCCACGAGATTCCCTCCCGCCGAAAATGTTTCCAGTTTGCAATTGAAATTACATGCCTTGAACGATTTCGGATTCGGGTTTGGCTTCATTTTCATTTTCGGTTTCGGTTTCGGTTTCGGTTGGGATTCGTTGCAATTGCAACTTGAGGCACGGCATAATTGACCGAAATTAAGCAGAGAGAGATTATTCAATCCCCCTAAGTAAACTACAACATGGACAAAAATTATAAAGTAAAGTAAGGTCTGGATTTGTTTTCTTCTTTTTTTTGGCGTTTCTTGTGCCATTTGTCGCGTGTGTTCGACATCACGTCCCTTTTGTTTGCACTCTTGGTCAAAAGAAGATGAAGCAAAAGATGTGGAAGAGGGAAGTAATAGAGAAAAAAGCATAGAGTAGATAAAAAGGTAGGGTAAATAGACAAAGAAATATAAATAAAAATAAAGGTAAGGGTAATAAAGGCTGAGGGAATGCAAATTTCCTCTTATGATTATTATTCATATACGGAAAGATTACAGTTGAGTGACTCAAGTGATTCATTTGAGTTATTTTTCAAGTGAATCAATTTATAAAGAGTTGAATAGATGGGTAATTTAGGGTTTATTTTAATTTTATTCAGGGTTGGATAATAAATTCAAATGTAAATATATTGATTTATTTGTATTATTTGTTTATTTTCTTGATTTTATTATTTTAATGAATTTTTACAATGTTGTTTTGTTTGTTAAAGTTCTTAATTTTGATAATTATTTGGTTCTCAGTGTGTTCTGACTGTTCATTTTGCTCATGTTCATTTTGTTGCTTGGCTAGAATATTCATTTTGTTTATGCTTTGCTCATTTGGTTCATTTCGTTGCTTGGGTTCCATGTGTACAATTTGTTTGTTGTGTTCATTTCATTCATTTTATAATGCTCATTTTGTTTTTATGATATCTAAAGATTCAACTCTGCTGATATCTTTTCCCCCACTTGAAATTAATATTTAATTTCACAAAAGCATCACGGCACTTGAGCAATTTCAAGATCATAAGCTATTATTTATCCATTTTCGGGTATCTCAATGATTTCCCCATCATCACTTCAATCAAATGCTTATATTGTATATATATCTACTACCGAATACAACGTGATCCCCACCCACCAATATCTATATATCCATAAATCCGCTATATATGCATTTCCTATGTTACTTCATCTCATCATCATCATTGTATTGAAGAGGCCTCGAACGAACTCTTGGCGGTTTAATGACCCAATTTCGTGTCTCACTGACCACAGACACACATAGGAGATATATGTGTCCCCCTTTCCCGATCTCCGATCTTTATAATATAGCTCGATGGCCGTCCTATAATGTCAAAGTGGGTCATCATCATCATCGTCTCCCCTCCTCGGACGGCATAACACTTTCCATTTGTATGCGGTCTTGGCTATATGACTTGTCGTTTCGTTAAAATCAAATCAAATATTTGCTTGGACTTTATTTTTTTTTTGTTTGCATTTATTTATTAGTTATTTCCCCCGTCTCCTCGCAGCCCAGAAAAAAAGGGACTTATGTAAGAAGTCTGGGCATATCGCCTTGGGTGGTTTATAGTCTTCACTCTTTGTTATTATTATTATTTGTTGCTTTTTTTTGGCAATACTAATACCACTTGCTATGGGCTTCTTTTTTATTTATTTATTTTTTGGTGGGGAGGTTATTGCATGCGAAATTCGCAATTGTCTGCTTTTAGCTGGCAGGCGATAATTGTCGACAGGCGACCGACCGTTGCTCAAAAAATAAAACTTTCTGGAAACTGACACCTACGAAATAAAACGTGCCAATTCGCTATGGTAGTCGGTAACCTTGGCACACTTGAAAGCCGCCTCAACGAAAGCCAAACAAAACACGGAAGCCACGCCTTCATCACCATCAAAAAATTGGAAATACTTTACAAAACTCAAAAAAGTAAAGAAGGTGAAAACACGGAAACGACCGATCATAAATTCATAGTTTTCGGGCCAAATTTTTGATTATACTTAAAAGCTAGCTGAGTGGGCGTTGACCAGGTTGACCAGAGAGCTGGCCAAAAGGGGCGGGGCCACATAAACGCCCAGCGTTTAAGGCGAAATCGAAAATAAAAAATCAAATTGAAAATGCGAATTTCGTGACTGTACTTTCACTGCGGTTCGCAACTTGGATTGCAAAAGTACTCAAAGTAACTGTAAATTGGTGATTGTATTTGCTAAATATTTTACATAAAGAAAATAATTTATGGAAATTTTGGAGTATTTTTATTATAGGATAGGAAAATTCTACCAAGAGAATTAATTATAAAATAAACAATGATTTTACTTGATTATAAATTTAGTAAGTTTAGAGAAAAAAAGTATTGCCTAAGCAATAGGCGCTACGTAAAATATATAATTTAAATTTACAATGAATATATTAGTTAAATAGCATGTGAACTCTGCTTAAAGATCTTTAACTTTATCAAATTTAGTACAATTTTAAATACTTTGCTATAAAAATACATAAATTCATATAAAAAATTAAAAATATTAAAGAAATACGCGAGTCTACAGGTTAACTTTATAAATATCTCGTAGCCGACATGTGTTACGTGTGTAAAATCCCTTTAATGAGGTAAAATATTTACAAATTAAAGCTCAATATTCAAGTTCCTTAAAAATATACTCATATAAATACAAAAATAAATTGCTATTTAAAGATATATCATTGAAAAACGCTAGTTCTGCAGGTGAGTGCTATAAAAATCAAGTAGCCGACCTGTGTTACGTGTAAAATCTGTTCTTTACCTGAAAATTTAACTAAATTTCAGACTAACATTATATATTAGAATATGTATGTACATAAATACATAAATATTAACAAAAACGTAATGGTTATTCTTGTTAATGTGTTGATATTTATAATATTACGTAGCCGGCATGTATTACCTTAAGTCATAGTAACATTTAAATATTGATAGAAATATTATTGGTTATTTAAGTCTGATAAATCAAATAGAATACAGATTTATATATATTTATATTATATTATATTATATTTATATAAAAATATAATGATTTATCAAAAATATTCCATGTTTTTCAATGCAGTATCAATAAATTGATACTTTATGCCTTCTCTAATCGAAGTAATAAATGAAAAACAAACACACCACAAAGTTGTTGCATAAATATATAAATATTTAATAAAATGCTTGATAAAATAACAAAAAAAAAGGTATATAAAGTAAAAGTAACATTAAAAGTAACAATATTTAAACCTAATCTTAGAATCAAAACAAAAAACAATGAATTGAGGACACAACAAAACAAGAACTCATAGCGATACATCAGTTAAATCCACACAATTGACTAGTTGAAACATATATATGTATATGTTATATATATATATATATATATATTAATTAGGGATCGACTAAGAGTGGCCCCTCCTGGCGCCCCAATCCTCCTTGATCAAATCCGAGGCCTTCTCCCCGATGGCTATAACCGGTGCATTAGGATTTCCATTGACAATCGTTGGCATTATGCTGGCATCCACAACACGGACACCGGAGACACCATAAACCCTAAGACGGGGATCCACAACGGCGGTAACATCCCAACTGGGACCCATCCGGCAAGTTCCTGCCGGATGATAGATCGTAAAGGTGAACTCCTTGATGCAACAGGCCCAATACTCATCCGATTGAAAGGGTAAATGTCTGCAACCCGGCAATGGGATATTATGCAGACGGGATCCAAAACGTTGAAAAGCTTGAGTATTCGATACATTAATTGCCAGCTTAATCCCTTCCACTAGAACATCGATATCCTCCTGATGGGCAAAATAATTGGGTATAATTTTCGGTGGCTGTTGTGGATTCCTCGAGTTCAAACGAACCCATCCCGAGCTCTTGGGTCGCAGCAGGAGTGGCAATATGGACCAAGTTTCGCTATGTTGCAGTGGCTTATACACGGTGTTGTAGAAACCATCTCTCAGATTCAATATCTTACGGATTTGTTCACCACCATCCGAATTAATAGAACTGGGACAGAAATGGAATTGAACATCAGGCCAATCAACGGATGGATCTTGATATTTGGTATTCAAAAAGGCCACACCTTCCACACCCGAAAAGGTCATAGGGCCACGTTCCCTCAAAATGTATTCCATGGAAACGGGAATGGTTTGGAAGCGACTTCGGGTCACGGTCAAAGGTGCATCCACCACAAAGGTGAGACCACCGAGACCCACATGATCTTGCATATTATTACCCACCGGCAGATCCGATATCACTGGTATATTATGTTCCTGCAAATGCTCCGCTGGTCCCACACCCGATAGCATCAATAGCTTGGGTGTATTTAAAGCTCCAGCACTGGCGATCACCTCACGACGGACAAAGACCAATTGCTTTCGGCCACCTCGTTGGTATTCCACACCGATGGCACGTTTCTGCTTATCAAACAATATCCTGGTGGCCTCCGCATGGAGCAACACATCCAGATTCTGACGTGCCCTCACGGGTCGTATGAATGCCTTGCCCGTGGAACATCGAGCTCCTCTCCGGATCGTACTCTGGGTGAGCATAAAGCCTGTTTGCTGGGCACCATTAATGTCCCGATTCTCATAGCCCATTTCCATGCCGGCTTGGAGGAAGGCAATGGAGAGAGGCGTGCGCCAAGGTGCCTCCTGGACAGTTAAATAACCGCCAGTTTCGTGATAAGGAGTTTTGGCCAAATATGGATTACGTACATCTTCCGATTTGAGGAAATACTTGAGCATACTGTCATAGTCCCAACCGGGATTACCCAGCGATGCCCAATGATTGTAGTCATTCTTGGAGCCTCGAACATAGACCATGGCATTGAGCACAGAGCTGCCACCGAGGACTTTGCCCCTTGGCCAAAAGCAGCGATCACCTTTCATGGCCTGACAGTATTGACGTGTGGATGAGGGCGTTGTCTGGTACTTCCAATCGAGCTCCGTTAACTGGAGATAACCCGCCAGAGCTGGCACATCGGAGATCTCAGTTTCATCACCGCCAGCCTCCAGGAGCAAGACGGTCCAGTTACGGATCTCACTAAGGCGATTGGCCACCACAGCGCCGGCGGAACCGCCACCAATCACCACAAAGTCATACTGACGACGTATCTGAAAGATACAGAAGAGAAATCATTACTTTTATGGAAAAAGAATTATTCATAAAGGATAAGATGCATAACGCCATAAGATTCAAGCTTGCATTGGAATTATTAGAGCCGGATTTTAGTAAAATCTCGCTGATTTATGCATCTTATTTGATCTTTAGCTTATACTCACGACGGTTGGCTCCTGGACCTTGTTCTCGGGATCGACGCTTTGATAGCGATAGAAATTCATGCCGATCGCCAGCAGCGGGATCATGCCAAGCAAAGACGTCATTGTGCCAAACGCCATGTTTCAGTAATTGTCAAATCCAAGGATCTTCCGATGAATGCTTGCCACTAGCTCCAGTTCCTCCCAATCCTGCTGAACGCTTCCCAGATCCTGCGTAACAATGAGCTGGGGCACTGGATGAGAGACCTCCAGGTGTAGAGTTACAGGTGGATATCGTGGAGTCGCTGCTATTGTTGCCACTGCCGGTGGCAAGTATCTTGGGCGTATAGTTACGAATGCCACCGGGTCGTGCGGATTTGAAATGTGCCCTCGCCCGTTCGTCCTCCTCCAAGATGTCCAGATATGATTTGATGTACAGATGATGATGTAAATAGTGTTTCTGCTTGTCCAGCGAACGATTACTCGACTTGCTTGAGACCAAGGAGCTGGGCGCTGAGCCGCGTGTGGAGGATGAGGAGGAAGTGCTGCTGCTACTCCGACTGCTGCTCGAAATGGACAGCGAGGAGACGGAACTGCAGTGGCAGGATGAATTATATATACCACTATCCGAACTCTGGGAGCTGCTCCTCAGCAGATTCAACTTGGCGTAATGGGAATCCGAATCCGATTGACTTGCCGGAATGGGGATCTTGCTTCTCTCGTACGTTTGTTTACTCAAATTGTACTTGTGACGGAGACGATAGTTTTGATTGTTATTTATATTGTTGCTACTATTGTTATTGTTACTATTATTGCTGTTGGTTGAGGAGGAGGAGGAGGAGGAGCTGGTGGTGGTGGACAGGTGACTGCTGGGTGTATAAATTGCCTGATTATTGGTACTAATGCCGCTAAAGCTTTTCCGCTGCTGTGGTGGGTGTCGTTTGTTGTGGGGTTGTGATTGCTGTTGGTGCTGCTGGTGTGGTTGTTGCTGTTGCTGATTTTGCTGCTGGGATATCTCCTGGCCCATATTTTGACAGAAATATGAACAGAACTGCAGGGAAAATAATGAAAATTGCATAAGAAAATGGTTAATTTTTAACAAGAGAAGCAAAATTGCAAGTTTTTATTTATCTGCGCTTAGCAAAACTGCAAGAAAATAATGAAAACTGCATAAGAGACTTGTAAATTATAACTAAAGACGCAAGATTGAACTTTAAAGTATATGTTTTTATTTTTTTACAGCATGAAATAATGAAAACTAATTGAGAAAATGTTTAATTTTGAACAAATATGATTTAACTTCAAAGTAAAGGTTTTACTTGCTGTATTTTCCAGAAGTTATATTTAAATCTTGGCGTATGATGGCTTAAATTCATTTTAAGCCCTCAAATACCTATTCTAAATTACATTTTTACTATAATTAATATGCTAAATATCAGCTTTTCCAAGAATTTATACATATTTCTTGGCAAAAGCTTCGTTCAAATATTGGTTTATTGAATTTTAGTTAGGAAAAAGCTTTGTTTTTTTATACTTTTATGGGAATTAAATTAAGTATTAGCTTTTAATAGCTTACAATTATTTTAACCCCTCTAATACCTATCATAAATTACATTTTAATATTATTTATAGAAATAATATGCTAAATATCAGCTTTTCCAAGAATTTATACATATTTCTTGGCAAAAGCTTTGTTTAAATATTGGTTTATTGAATTTTAGTTAGGGAAAAATCTTGTTTTTTATACGATTTTGGAAATTAAATTAAATATTAGCTTTTAATAGCTTGAAATTATTTTAACCCCTCTAATACCTATCATAAATTACATTTTTAATATTATTTATAGAAATAATATGCTAAATATCAGCTTTTCCAAGAATTTATACAAATTTCATGGCAAAGGCTTTGTTCAAATATTGGTTTATTGAATTTTAGTTAGGAAAAACGCTTGTTTTTTATACTTTTATGAAAATTAATAAATAAAATTTAAAGAAATAAATTGTTTTGTATCTTCTATAAATAAAAACAAAGAATACTTGAATTATTCATTAGATTCCCTGCTATATTTTGCCACTTAACATTTTATAATTGAATTTGTTACAAATTTAACAGTAATTTTAAAAATGTATCAACATTTCCAGTTAAATCCTAAGCAAAAACTTGCTTTAAATATACAATTTATCCATTTTAAACTCTCGAAATGTCATTTTAATTTAAACGAAAAAATCTCTATTTAACGATTGCCAAATCCGAGTTTTAGCTATAAAACCAAATTAATTCAAGTGACCGCTTTTTTTTGGCCAGACATTATTTCGGTTTAATGTCAATAATATCTATATAACATTATATCTCTATATATCTCTATATATATAAGACATTCATCGATGTAGCAATCATTATACGAGTTGCTTGCAACTAAGCTACCGAATAATGATGACAATCTGGCTGCGTGGGAGCTGAATGAATGGTGAATAAATATGAATGAATGTTATCATTGATGGGCATTACTATAAGCTTTTTTTTTGTTGCTTTCTGCGTTTGCCATTGTTGCAACAATGCTCTATAAAGAAAAAATCAGCAACATGCAAGCGGAAGCCCACGAATATTCCAGTGAATATCAACCAAAAAAAAATCGAGCAGAGTACAAAAAACAGAAAAGAAAAGAAAACACTAAAGTTTGGCAATTGTTGGCCAATCGTTGGTTGGGCAGTCAGCCAACAGATGGCGCTGTCACACGCGCTGCCAAACAAAAGACTTAGGCAACGAACTTGTTTACACTTTTCGCAAGCAAAAAACGAAAAACGAAGAAAGACGAAAATAAAAACGTTATCAAATCGCATAGAAATTGAATTGCTATATAAAATTATTCAAATGATGTCAGCTGCATCTCATTATGAAGTTGTCTCTACACTCTTTCTCTATCATTTATATATATATATATAAATCTTTATATATATATAAATTTTTTCTTTTTTTCTCTCTTACACTCTTGGCTAGTTTTTCAAGTTCAATGCCGTTTGGCAGGCGGAAAAAGAGGGGGAAAAAAATACAGAGCTTTTTTTTTTTGTCTCAATGTCTCCTCCTGTAAAATGCAATTTCGTTATTTTGTTTGTCCATTCAGCCAACGGTGGCTTTAATTGCTGTCCAGCCAGACTTTGCTGTCTTTTTTTTTTCCTGCGGTTTTTCCAGTTTTTCTTTCTCTCTCTCTCTCTCTCTCTCTCTCTCTGTCTCTGTCTCTGTCTTGCTCCCGATTCAAGGCAGTGAAAGCCAAACGACATCGGGCTTCCTACATCAGCCACAAACACCAGATATATTTTATATATATCACATATATATATTATATTATATTTCTCCCTTGTACCTTGCTCTGTCACACACTGGCAAAAAATATAAAATAAAATAAATGTAACTGAAACTGCTCTCGTTTAATTAACAGCACACCGAAAATAGCTGTCTATTTTTAGCCAAATTGTTATATATATCATATATATTAATGCTTTTATTTTTTGCCCGGCAATTTCGCTAAAGCGAAGCGATTTGAACGGCTCGACGGTTGCGATGTAACTGGAAAAACAAACACACCAAAAATTAAATCCAAATTCATTCACTCAAATCCCCGTTAACGGCAGACGCAACAGGTTAAAAATAAGAAATAGTGAGATATATATATATGTATATAAACAATCAACACTGACCGCTAATTTATGCAACGCCCTTGGGCGGAGTGACAAAGGAAACCCTTGCAGGTTTTTATATTTTCCAAGCATTTTACTTTGTGTATGTATGCCTTTGACGTAATAACCGAAAAAACAACAAATATATATATATATACTGGGCCAGGTTTTCTCGGGCATTTTTTTTACATCACAGTGATGTCGATTCATTCATCGTCATTATGCAATTCACACATTGTTAGTAACAAGCCAGCAAAGTCGAAAATCTTTGTTGGTTTTTTTTTTTAATCTTTTTTTTCGGCCTCAACTGCCGCCTGTCAATTATGATTTGACAGCTTTTAATTATGGCCAAGACTTTATGCCCCCTATAATTGATGACATTTACACGGATTTCCATGTGCTCGTTGGTTTTTCTCTTTACTGTTTTTTCTCAAGTTATATGTTTGTAAATATTTTTTCTTTATTTTTTTGGTTATTTGCCCAGCCCTTTTGTGGGTCGACTCGCACATAAATTCAAGTAATTTTAGCTACTTTACTTTGGCTCAACGCTTTCTCGACAATCGGCTGAGTCACGGTACCGTGACACATTAAAGAAGTAACTAACATACAACAAAAAAAAAACAACAGGGAAAAACGTACAACATAAAGCATAAAAAAAAACATAAAACAAAAAAACTAAAAACTATTAAAAACAAACCCTGGCTTATTTCCGTACAAAGTGTACAAGTACAGTTTGCTGTTGAGTGACACTTGGAAATTAATTAATTAGCACATTTATCTAAAAGAAATTTGGTACTTAGTGTGACTTTTCTTATTTAAAAATAGTTATTTTTAATAGAAAATATTTTAAATTATATGATTTACTTTGTAAGTTTCCATTTTTTCTAATTTATTACTCTCTTATTAAATTGTTTACTTTGAAAAAAACTGGGGTTTTTCATTTTTACATGTTTTTATTTTACTACAAATTATTTATTTAAACAAAGTGATACCCTTTATTTGTGCTCTTGACAACACTTTATGGCTATAATATTTTTTCATAGCTATATTATGTTATGTTATAAATCCAGATAAAGATAAGATAAATCCAGAATAAAATTTAACAAAGTATTTAATCTTTGCTAGGACTCTCTATATATTTATGAGTAAAGTTTTGATATATACCATTTATATTTTCTAATAATTATTCACATCTGTTTTCATTAAATGTCTTGAATATATTGCTTTAAGTAAGATGCACCAGTTCGATTACTATTTTATGTTTCGATAGATACATGTTGATACTATGTTCGAAATATGATATTAAAACGATTACTTTGAGCTTTTTTGATACCTATTCGATTTTAAAATTAAACTTTATATCAAAAATTAATATAATGATAAAATGACCCAAATATGATCACTATATTTTTCTAAACGATTACTATTTCCTCTATCTTTCTTTTATTTAATTTTATTTCGATAATTTTAATTGATTTGTGATAAAATTATGATCTAGAATTTTTCTGAACAATTAATAGGTACTCTTTTAATAACAAGTACATTATTTTCTACCACATTTTCACTAAATACTGATCAGAAATGTATATAGAATTTGGTTTCTACATTAGATAGTTAATATTGATAATTGATAACTTTTACACCCTGCTTGCTTTATCGATAACTAATCAAATTCGATATATTACCCCCTGCATGAGGTACTTCCTATATCGATAACTAATCAAATTCGATTATTTCGATATATTACAAGCCTGAGGTATAATTTCTCTGAATTACTAGTAACAGCAACCAGGGTACTCTGAATTCGTTACATCCCCTGCCAAGTCTTTCTCCTGACCATCCATTCGAATGAGATATGGTTACATAGCAGCACTTTCTTGGCTTTGGCCTGGCTTGGCTTTTAATTGCCGGACTCGTATGCATATGCAGTGCCGCCGGTGGCGATACACGCGCGCTCCATGATTGCCTCTTTATGGCCGCGACGTGCACAAATTGATAATAATTCGCACAGAGGTGTGAGGTGGTTCGGTGGTTCGGTGGCTACGATGGCTACGATGGATCTCTGGTGGGATCTGGTGGAGCAAAAGCCACCAAATATTTTGGCGGTAGAAAGTGTGAAGCTACCGAATGTTAGGGCGTGGCAGGGAGGAGTCTCTTACATAAGAATCTGGCTCACTGTAAATGTCTCCTGATTTTTTTTTTTGATTTCGTTTAATTTTTGGTTTTTTATTTTTTTGTGGCGCCCTCGTTTTTAACCAAGGGTCAAGCCAGTCAAGTGGTGTTATATAAAAATCAAAAAAAAAAAAGGGAAAATGGGAGCAAATATATTTACGACATCGCATGCAAATGGGTGTTAATGTTTTT